GCATCTTCCTGGCAATCGGTGATCGGCTCCGAGACAAGGAGTCACCCCTGTGCACAGGTGCTGGAGGCGGGGTAGGGAGCACCCTGGACTCGCGAGAGTCAGCACCTGACGATGCTTTGGCCTTGAGGCCCTGATTCCTGATCTCGACCGTCCTCGCTTGGTCCTCCTTTTTCTGCTCGAGCTTCTTCTGCAGCTTGGCTTTCTTCTCATTCGTGGTAAGCACGGGCTTCGGCTCCATCTTATCAAAACGCTTCCGAGCCCAACAATCCAAGGCGTGGCGATCGAATCCAAAGAAAAGAGGAACTGTCGGCTGAATCTGATTCCCAACCAAATCCAGATCCTGAGAGTAACAGGTGTCCGTGGTGAAAAGAAAGGTAGCCCCGCTGGGCGCAGTACGGTAACAAATGTGGGTCTGGATCACGCCAGACAAAGCCAATGGCTACTGAAGGCGAAGGTGAAGCGGTTGCCGAACCCAATCAAGCATTTCTTGAGCAAGACCCAAACGAAACTTTTTGTCCCGGGAGCCCTGAGGGGAGAATAAGGTGGTCCAGGCATCCTTGTCATACCTGAAAACATATCCCCTATGCGAGCGAGAGAAGGTACGGCTGCCCCCAGAGTTATCAAAGGAGCGATTCTGAATGACCCAATGCTTGCAATATTGAAACAGCCTCGACGAAAAATCTTCTGGATGTCTTTGCATGTGTGAAACCCAACTAATAGCTGAATCCAAATGAAAAATAGCCCAAGAAACATCTTTGTATCCCTTGGTTTTACGATTTCTGCGTAAACTAAACTGTTCGGGAGATTCCCCAGGGAGCCTTTTGAGTTTCAACATGATCCTGATACATTGATTTTGAGCCTTGGTAATCAAATCCGCCGTCGTCTTACAAGGGACCCAGGCAGCACCTCTGGAGCGGATAATCCCCCCCGCCATACAGTTAAGTTTTGAGAGACGTTTTGACATGGGGATCTGCTCGTTGATCAAGAACCTACTGTTAGCCCAAAAGGCTTTGTTAATCTGTGAAATACCCTGCTTGACATCTTCGTGACAGGATCCAGTGGCAGAGAGAATCGGACCCAACACCTTAGCCTCCGGTACAACAGACCAAGTTTTCCCAAAGGGATCGGACCAATTGTATCCTTGAAAGAAATAGGGGTAGGCCGGAAGGATTTCCCGATCGTCTTTGAGTTTGAGCCGATGTTCATTCCAGAGCTCCGACTCTACCAGTGCAGTCAGAGTTGCAAGGTCCTGTTCCGAGGACGCCACCACGAAGATATTATCTGACCAGCTGAGAAGGGCAATCCTGAAATCGAAGCCCAACTGCTCACAACGGATAGAGATTCCCAAAGAAGAATGGGTGATTTTCTCCAGGGTGGAGGCGAAGCAATCTTCTACGGAAACGCGCGCCAGTATGCATGCAGTCCCAGCTCCCTGCATCAACCCACGGTCTCTCTGGATAATCCCAGTGTTTGAGTCCAAAAGAGAGATGGAGACTCGAGGGTTCCTATGCAATCTGATGCAGCCAACTGCTAAGAAAAGAGGGACTCCCCGTCCCAGTAGACTCCGCAGGACTAATCCATAACGAATCTGATCGTGGTGAGCTTTGATGTCAGTAATCCCAACCATTCCTTTGTTAAAATGATCTCGGCCGTATTCTAAAATGTGATAGACACTGGTATGAAGTTCTTGTAATTGTCCACCTTTGCTGAGCCCAAAAATAAGACCTTTGAGACCTTTTGAATCAGTGTATGAATCCAAAACTGGCAGAATGGCCCTTGCCACATATGCGTGCCCGATCTTGGCAATTGCTGGCTGGGGAATGACAACTCTGGTTTGAGAGGGGGTTCCAAAACCCTTGATCTTGTTACCCAGGTGGCCCCCGAATGTGACATCATTCCAAAATTCGGGATCGCCTAAGCAGGCCTGTATACACCCCGTGAGCCTCTGGGACCATCCCGAGGCTTTTACTACCGCCGTACAGGCGAACTCTGTGTCGATCTTACGGGGTGCCTTGATGTTGTCCAGCGCGTCTTCCAGCAGGGAAGGAATGATGGGGTCGTTGTAGAAGTTGAAGAAACCCAAAGAGCGAAGCCAGGCGAAGTCCTCTTGCCGCTCCGATTCTGAGAGTCCCCACCTCTCGCTGTATTCTTCAGCCACCAGTTTGGTACAGCGGTCCACTTCAAAAATCTTGACTTGATCTACACAGAAACCCAAAATGGGTAGGAGTGTCTTGCGGGAGGCCCAGACCTGTTTTCCTTGAGAGGCGTTGAGCGCAACCTGAGCCAAATCGCGTTGAAGTTTAGTTATTTTGAGAGCTTTCAAGAGGAGCTGACCCAATGAGACCCTCGTGGCTTCGTTAAGTTCGGAGTTGAACCGTGTCCTGAGACTCTTGACCCAAAATGGCTCTTCGGCAAATCTCCTAAAACTCCTTGGGAGAGCCTGAGTCGCTTCATAAACCTGGCCCAACATGTTTTCCCAGAAATCAAAGGAGAGGGTGAGGTCCCTTGGGTCATGATACCTGACCGCACATGAATCGGGCTGTTCTTCGTCATTTAAACGAATAAGTTCCGATGATTCGGGAAACAGACCTTGGGCGATCTTCCTAACCTCCAAAATGTTTGTAGGAGTCCACATGAGAGGTCTCCTCTTACGCATCTGCTGGTGAAAGGCCAGCACATCACAGCCAACAAGAGCATGGTCCCCTGGGACGCCCGCCCAGCGGGCGAAACAATCAAAAGTGAGATCACTCCTGGCGAGAGCTATGTGATCGATCGTGCTGTTGGCCTGAGAGAGCGCCTGATCACCATCAGGCTTCCTAGTGAATTGCATGGAGGTCTCTTGGAACCTGAGAGGACACCAACGGAGATTGAGGCATGAACAAGCTTCACTGAATGATCGGAATGTCGGATCTCCGTTACCTTGATCGGCATTCATGTCCCCAAACCAAGAAAGAGTAGACCCCACGGGGCGGGATCGACCGAGTTGGATGGCACAGTTGAGAGAATCATGGAAAAAATCGTGGGCAAGATGAGAGAAGAGAAAGGATCTGGCATGATGGTGGCAACCATCGAGACAGTCGGGACGAAGATCAACACGGATAGATCTCCAATCGCAGACAATGTCTTTCACACGTTTTCTCAGAGATTTGTGCACAAGCACGCCCATGGCCCTACACCCAGGGCCAGAGTGATGGCGGTAGTAAGCGTGGCCATTGAAAACAGGGCGTAGTAGCCCATCGTTTTGAAGACAGCCCTTAAAATCCGCCTCTAAGATACAAATTAAGCCCCAGCACTTCAGCTCGAGCAAATCTAGGTTGGCTTGCATTTGAGTCTCGTCGGCCCATTTACCCTGCACATTGAGTGCACATACGAGACCCCTCACGTGAGCATCTCAAAGAGATAGTGCTTCGTCGATTGTGTCTTTGAGCGTCTTACGGAGCGCTTCGTCGGGAATCTCCTTGAGTGACTCGTGCCACTGAAATTCCCCATCTTTGATAGCACCTATCTGACGGTCCAAGACGAAAAATTTTCGAGTCCGAGAGCAAACCACGTAACTGTCCGTGCGATCTCCCATTGCCCTTTCCAGGGCTTCTGATACGGTCTTGAACAATTTTGCTGGGCCACGCTCCTCCTTCGTACTAATCTGGCCACACCAGATCGTATGTTCCAAGTGCCCAGGGATCTTAAGATCACGAATCGCAGCTGCCGCTTGAAGTCCCACTGCAATCGAACTCCATTTAATCTCCACACAACTCCCATACCCAAATGGTGCAACAATATGCGTGGGCTGGGGAACATCCGCCCGGCGAAGGACAGCCCGTGCCTTCTCCAGGGCCTCCTGCTTCTTGAGATTCCAGCCCAGGTTGGTGAGAATGAAGATGTCCCTATCTGCCCTTGGGGTGCTAGCCCACGGCGGACCCTTTTTCCTCGACGGACCCTGGCTCGACTGACTTTCTAACTGTTTGGCTGCCATTTCCGCGCGCAGAGACTTCTGCTCCAGCTCAACGGCAAGAATCCTTTCGTTGAAGGCTTTCTGCACCTCGGTTTCACCCGCTTCAAGGTTGGCAAGCTTTACTTCATGGTCATTGATCAGAGTGACGGCCACTGAAAATTCCTGAGCCATCGCCTTTTGAGTTCCCAACACATCGAATTGTAACGAATCAATACGATCTTTGATAGGAGCGATCTTTTTGTCTAGGAGAGACTCGAGTTGGGCAAGAAACCCGTCGGCACCGGTGGCGGTCGAGGCAGCCCCCGATGGAATCGAACCATTTTCTCCCAAACCAGTACCCTTAGCAGCTCCCTTGGCCGCCAAGGTTCTCATAGCTTTCGAGGCTTCTTGCTGATTTTCTTTGTCGTCGTCTGCCATCCGAGCTTCGTCCCTCAGTCTTTTCTGCTTATCGATGTCCAACGATAAGAGCTTTTGCATGGTTTCTCCAATCTGCAATGCCGGCATGGCCAAAAGGATGAAGCAAGAGCCAGTTTCCCAAAATTTGAGATAGAAATGAAGCGCTGAATTGACAAAACCCAGTAAGATTCACGAATTCACCAAATTGAAGCGATATCCCACTGATTGAACCCAATAACCGATCCCCAAAGGCTCAAGGAACAGTTGCGGTACCGGAATGGCTTGTGGTAATGAATGAGCCAAACCTGAGCCAAACCTTGAGCCAAACCTTGGGCTTGAGCCAAACCTTGAGCCAAAATGGCTTGAGCCAAAATGGCTACGGCGGGGGAAAAAGGGGGGGGGGAAAGGGGGAGGGGGAGGGGGAGGGGGAGGAGAAAAATGGGCTTGAGCCAAAATGGGGGAGGAAAAGGGGGGAGGGGGAGGAGAAAAGGCTACGGCTTGAGCCAAAATGGGGGAGGAAAAGGGGGAGGGGGAGGGGGAGGAGGAGGAGGAGGAGGAGGAGGAGGAGGAGGAAAAGGAGGAGGAGCAGGAGGAGGAGGAGGAAGAGGAGGAGGGCACGAAGCTCGGCGAGCAGGTCGATCTGCAGCCTCGCCTATGCTTGCATGCGGTGCAACGCGGCCAGTCTCACACCAGATCGATGGGCCGCTCCGGCATCCAGGCCCACGTCCACGCGGTGCTTCTGGATGTGGTAGCACTGGCACATGAGGCCGACCGAGTAGATGCAGTCCTTGATCGGTCTCCTTGCGTGGTACTGTTCGTCGCCGAACCCGAGGAACTCGATGCCGTGGCCCAGGGAGTCGGCGTCAGCGTCGCCCGCGGTCAACGCCCTGAGGATGGGGCAGACGACGTAGTGCTCGAGCGCGTCCACCTCGTCGCAGCCGAACAGGCATGGTCGCGCATCGATGACGGCGCTCATGCGGCGAGAGGTCGTCCAGCCGTTGACCGCGGTGCGGATCCACGACCACATCCATGCAGGGCGGACCTCCGTCAGCTTGTCACGCAGCGGAGGCCACCTCTCGCGCAGCTCGGGCAGCGAGCACACGACTCCCCACCTGCGTAGCCGACATTGGATGGTGGCCACCAGGTCCTCGGGGTACAGCGAGCCTCGGAGCGAGATGGCGGCCGTGGCCTGGCGCTTGGGCTTCCTGGTGGGAGTGGCCGCTGCCGCCGCCTTCGTCTCCAGGGTCATCGCCGCCTTCGCGATCTTGATGTACCTGCTCGGGATCGGGACCGAGAGCACATCGAGCGTCGGTCTGGGGATGTCCAGCTGGCCGTAGGTGTCCGTGATCATGGCGAAGTTCTGTACGATCGCCCTCCGCGTCTGCCACCACGGTGGGGACCAGTTGCCCTTGATCACGTCGATCAGTGGGGCATGCTCCACGGCAGCTTCATGAAGGTGGTGAAGGTGAGCTTCCCATCCACGAACCGCGTTCTCCGCCGTGCGCATCGTCGCCGCGAGCGTGTACGGGAAGAGGCCCGTCGGCGACGGGGAGCCGCGCCACGCGCTCATCGACAGGATGTCGGCCTTGCGCATGGACGAGGGCGGCAGCCGCAGCAGGCGGTGCAGGGAGGTGAACTCGACCTTCCAGATGGCAGGCACAATGAAGTAGAACTGCGCGAGGTACGACAGGCACGGTAGCGCGTTGATGTTGTACGCGCGTGCCGCCAGGCTGGTGGCCATGCCAGTGCGCGCCAGCTCCCAGCATCGGGTCCACCATTTCCCCGCAGCTGCCTTCCAGATGCCGAAGTCCGTGACGCCTGGCCCCAGGTGAGTCCCCAGGTACTTGGCCGTGGAGTCGACGCGGAAGCCCGACCAGCGGGGGACCTCCTTAGCGAGGAAAGACTTGACGCCCTGCAGTGTGTCCTCCGAGAGCTCCTCCCACAGCGGCACCAGCACGCACTTGTGCAGCGCCAGCTGCAGGTTGAAGGCAAACTCAATGGAGACGAAGGTGGAGTCGATGCTGGGGAGGGCGACCGCGTTCTTGATCAGCATCCCGAGGTCGTCGGCGCAAGCCGTGAGGAACCCATGCTCAGCAATCGCAACCAGCAGCGCGCGGATGGGCGTGTCCATGGCCAAGCACCAGACCGTGCCAGAGAGCGGGCATCCTTGCATGATGCCGCACAGGAGCGCGAACAGCGGCTCGAACTCCGCGCCGGTGCCCTCGGCGCGGAAGGAGCTGAAGGCGAGGCAGTTGCTGTAGAGTGCCGCGACCACGTTGCAGAAGCCCAGCGGGACCCCGTAGCGCGGGAGGACCTTCTCGATGACTTCCCTGAAGAGTGAGGGGAAGGCCTGACGGAAGTCGAACGACAGGAACATGGGGCGGCGGGTCGCCGCGTCAGGAAGAAGGCCCTCCCGACGGCATTCCGCGTCCAGGCACGGGGTGTGGTCGACGAAGCGCCGCCCAGCAGTGAAGCCCTTCTGATCGGGTGAGGTAGATGATGTGGCGATGGGCTGGAGCCCGCGATCTGCGCAGGCCGCAATCAGCTCGGCGTCGCAGCTCTTCAGGGAGAGGGTGCGCACCGTGGAGGCCGTGCGCGTGCAGGAGTCGGGGACGTCGTCCTCCTCCGTGCCCTTTGGCACGCAGATGAAGATCGACCAGTTGAGGTCGAGCGGGGCCACGCCGTCGTTAAAGAGGGCTTCCATGAGACCCTGGAGATGCTGCAAGGCCCCAGGGCTGCGGCGCCACGCTGCGTACGACAACTGATCTGGTCCCGCAGCGCTCGGGGGGGCCCTTCTGGCCGCACGTTCTAAGTCATGTAGAGCTGGTTGAGGGAGTTCAACCTCGGGCTTCCTTGGCGCGTGCTTGTCCAGGAAAGCGCCCAAGGCCTTGAGCTGTTCAGAGTTCGGCACCTTCGCGAAGATCTCACCCCAGTAGTTCGCTACGATCGCCTTCATGCCCGCGGGATCGGGGACCACGTGCTGAGCCACCTTCGAGTCCTTGGCGGCACACGGTGCGGAGTCCACGCGCAGGCCCGAAAGGATCATACGTCGCCGCCACGGGACCCAGAGCTGCGCATGCCTGGCGGCCTTGCGCTCAACCCTCCGCCAGGCTGCGCTGTCGCGCACGTTGGCCGTTCGAGCTGCTGCCTCCGCCGCCTGCCTGCGCAGGGAGTGCACCCGCTCGGCGATGGCGTCGAAGTTGGCGGCGAAGCTGTGGGGGTCCACGAGGCGCACCGTGCCGTCGGCAACGTGGAGGTGGGCGGCCAGCACAGGGCAGGACTCGAGCAGCCTGCCTGCCAGGACAGCGTCCTGTCGCCAGACCGCTCTCGCCGCCGACTTGAAGCCCATGTACGAGGTCTCGACCGTGGAGTCCTTGACGTGTAGAGAGAAGTTGGTCCGCAGCTGGTGATCACGAACACGTCGCGCTGCAAGTTTCATGCACTGCTTCGCTGCTCTCCAGCGGCCTTCCGCCGTTTCCCCAGCCAAGGAGCAGTGGTCCAGCATGAGCGCGTAGGTCTCAGGGTACTTCCTGTGGTTGAAGAGGTGCGTCGGGATAGGCTGCTCGTCTCGTGGAACATGGCGTGCGGCGGTGATCTGCAGGACGAGGGGCGCGTGGTCGCTGATGCCCTCCTCGGAAAGCTCCATCGCGTCCCTCGCAGTGGTGAGGATCGTCGAGACCGAGAGCATGGCGTGCGCGTCGATGCCCAAGAAAATGCGGTCGATCGTGGACAGCTGCTTGCTGGACTTGTCGTAGTGGGTCGGCCACTGAGACTCCACCTCCAGAGCTGCAGCGAATAGACGGCGCCACGCAGGTTGCCGAAGTTGGTAACGGTGATCAGGTCGGAGGCGCCAAGCTGTGGCGTCTGTGGGTGCTCGTTGGCTGACTGGCGGGCGGGCAGCTATGTTGAAGTCACCGACGCCCAGGAAGATGCGGTGTAACGAGTCACAGCGCGCCCACGCCAGGCCACTGGACCAGGTGCGCTGGACTGCAGTGAACTCGTGTGGCTTGAGGTCGTAGTTGTGGATGTTGAAAATCTGCATGCTGTACTTGCCCGTGCTGTCGGTGATCGTGAGGAGCGCCGCGCGGCCGTCCGCCACTATGTCGAAGCGGTAGGCCGGTAGTGCAGAAGTGGAGTTACGTGAACTTGACCAGGTGTTGTTCGGTTGTGACGTAGATGTCGTGGGAGAACGTCGTGTACTTGAACAGGTGTCGGAGCAGCTTGCTGTCGTAGTTGAGGAGGAGGTTCGCGTACTTGTCCAGGTGTCTTGAGTCGGCATAGAAGCAGTTGGAGGCGAGGAACGCACAGGAGGTCTTCCACTTCTCGCTTCGCTCCCGTCTCCCAGAGATTCGGCTCTGGGTCCATCCACCCTTGGAACTTCGTCGGCGCATCGAGGGACGAGAAAGGCGACTCCGCCCACGGCGGCGGAAGAGCCAGGCGAGAGGAAGCTCAAGTACTTCTGCGGCTGCGACTGGAGAAAAATCCTGAGGGCGTCCTCAGATCCGTGGACCTCCTGTACGGCGATGATGGCGTTGACCTTCATGTAGGTGGCGAGCAGTGCCAACTTGCGTCTGCGCAGCCTCGCGTCCGAGTGGAGGAGGCCACGGGCGTTCCACACGACCGGGTGAAGTCCCCGAAAGCCATGCCGTGCGCCAGGGGGACGCCACGGCGCCCACAGTGGGCTGCTAAATCCACTCGGTGTTGTCCTCCGTGGAGAAGGCCTTCTTGAACTGCGTGTTGATGGACTCCCTGTCGATGTGCAGCCTGGCGACCATGTCTGGGTTCCACCTGATGATGGTGTCGGTGTTGCGGGATTCACCCATCTCGAGCTTGGCAACCTTGACGCCCTGGGACGTGATGATACCACGGGCCCGCTGAGCACTGAAAGACTGATCAGGAAGAGCTTCTGCCAGCAAGACCGAGAGCTTCCTCGATTGGATCTCCATTCGTACTTGCTGCGGTGACTTGTCAGGCGAGAGGTACAGTGGGACGACGCCTCCGCCGACGCTCTGCGCGCTGAAGGAGCGCCACCCGTTCCTGCCAGCTGGGTCACGTAGATGCCGAGCGAGTGCCTGAGCCCGAGGGAGAGCGACTCCGTCGCCGCCCTGCACCATGACGTTGAAGCGCTTGGCAGGGACCACAGGGTCGATGCGGACCATGTCGTGAGTGAGGCCGGCCGCTCGAATCCACTCCTCCAATCCTTGAAGCTTGGGCGGGTCCAACCAACTGCGGCGCTCCGATCGAGAAGATCCGCGGGTTGGGTTGACGAGACCACGCCTCCAGCTCCTGGAAGTCCATGATGGGAAGCTCCTTCTCGGCGAGGGCCAGGGCCTTGTTGATGTCCCCGATCTGCTTGCGCATGGCGGCCTGCTCCGCCTCCAACGCGTCGGCGCGCTGGCCGATGGAGGCGATGTCGCGAGTCTGCACGGCGAGGGACCTGTTGACTGCCTCCTGCTGCGACTGGAACATGCGCACCAGCTGCGTCTGGCAGGAGGTGACCTGGGCCATGGAGGTCGCGGCGATAGCATCGGTGGCCTGGCGAATGCAGCTCTGCAGCATGGCCTGCATGTCAATGCCGCCAGCGTCCACAGGGGTGGCCATCCCACCGACAGGAGTGCCAGCAGCAGGTAGTTCAGTGTGTCCAGCAGCGGGGGCGGCGCGATCATGCCACGGGTCCCCGCCAGGGCGTTGCCACGGGTCAGTAGGAGCATGTTGAGGTCCAGCTTGTTGGGGTCCAGCAGGCACTTGTTCCACTTGCATGTCCTGGCGCTCCTGCGTGGGGAAGGCGGCCGCCGCCTCAATGGCGGCCACGAGCTCGTCCTGGGCGGCGCGATCGAGACCTCCGAGTCCAGGGCGCTCACGATCACTGGCCTGCGATCCCGAGGCATCCGCCTCGCCGTCAGAGCGCGGGTGGCCCCGCCGAGCCCGTCGGCGCGCAGGGGCACGCTCGTTCGTGCTGCGGGAGGCCGAGCGCAGGTCCTCAGCTGGTGGCTGCTCCTTGCCCTTGTCGCCGCGCCCCCGACCGTCTGCAGCGCCAGGGCCGCGATGGCCGCCGCCAGCACGACCAGTCCTGCGCCGCTCCTCATCGGCCGCCATGCACTGCTGGAGAGAGCCCTCGCGGGCGCAAAACTGTGGGCCCTCGCGGACCGGGTTGTGGCGGCAGCTCGCCCTGGTTGTGGCTGCAAAGAAGTCCCCACTCCTGGCCGCGGCACAGCGGTATCCATGTGGACGCCGCCGCGCACCAGGACATCTTGAGCCAAAATGGCTACGGAGGAGGAACAGGAGGAGGAGGAGGAGGAGGAGGAGGAGGAGGAGGAGGAGGAGGAGGAGGAGGAGGAGGGCAAGCCAGCTACAGGTCAAGGTGACATATGATAAAGCAAAATTATGACGATCGTGACTCCATCACGGGCCCCGCGCTTCCAGCGGCTGCACGCCAACAGGGGCCACGCGCCTGCGCGGGCGGCCAGACACCCCGCAGCGGGCCGCCAGCAGCTGCGCTGCCACTCCCCGCATGAGTCGGGTCGGGCGAAAGGGGGGGATAGCACAGGGGAGGGCTTGAGAATCAGTTCACGTAGCTGATTTTCCCGGCGCCTCCCGGCGCTGGAGGCGGCTATGCATCGAGAAATGGCCCCCTCGGCGAGGCCGAAACCAGCTGCATGCAGCAAATTTTGTACCCCCCCCTTTCCCAATCCCGCCCATTCTTCCGGCCCGAATGAGCGCTGCGTCGAGCTGCGCCCGCCAGCGGCGCGAGGCGTTGCCAGGCAGCCGGCCCCTCCGGTGGGCACGCCTTGCATGCGCCGCCGCGCAGTGCTCCAGCAGGGCCTCCGCGCGCGCTCCGAGGCGGCCGAAGGTCTAGTGCGCGGCTGGCCAGACCGCCCTGCCGCAGGCTGGGGGGTAGGAGTCATCCTTCTCGCCTTCGGCCGCGCGCGCCGCGCATCCGGGCTCCCGCGCAGCCCCCGGCTGGTAGGCGACGGACATGGGATGCCAGGCCGTGACATCGACCTGGCAATCTGGCAATTCTGCGACGCCCAAACGTCCAGCCATGCCTCCGCGCGACTCGTGGACAATTCCGGGACAAACAGCTCGCGGCTGACGTGCTGGCCGGCCTCCGCGAAGATGTCCGCGTAGACATATCGGCAAAGTCGTCGTGCCGGCGGGACCGGAACGGCCCGCGTTCGCACATGGCCGCGTGGTCGCCGTGCGCGCCCAGCTGGTCGAGGCACAGCTCCTGCGTGGACGTCTTCTCGATGAGGCACTGCGCGCCGGGCGGGCACGGCGTGGGAATGTCCAAGCGGAAGCGTACGAGGTCGGCTGCGAGCGCCGCGCCCGCCGTCGGCCCTGCCGCGCTGAGGAGGCGCGCCCGGTCCCGCGTCGCAGCCCTCGCGAGCAAGTCCGAGTAGCGCGCCGCGGCAGAGTGCTGCAAGTACCTGATGAGTAGGCGCTGCTCTCGGGCTTCTTGGCGGAGCGGGTCATTCGCGCAGTCTGCTGGATCCGAGACAGGGCGGCCGCGCCCGGCCAAGGCGGCGATGCCGCGCTCCCGCGCGCATGTCCAGGATGCCGTCCGAAACGGCATCGTCGACGCCGTCGCACTGCTTGACGTCGCGTGCGACTGCAGCCGCCTCGCCGCCAGCGCCAGCCCAAAACGCGACCTCTGCGCGGAGTGCGGGGCCATGCTCGACGTGTCGCTCCGCCCCGGCCAGCGGGGCGATGCGCGGGGATGTGTCAACCTGCAGGCCAGCAAAGCGGACTGGGAGACCACTATGCTGGAGCTCCGCCTCGGTGAGCTGCCCTGGGCGCACGTCGATCGACGCCGCGACGACGCCTGCGACGTTCTGGTCCAGAACGCGGGCGAGGGGCAGCAGCGCGCTGCGAGGTACGACTCCCGCATATAGTCGAGCGCATGGGCGACGATGCCACGGCATGAGGCGAAGGCGGCCTGCTCGGCACCAGCCGGGGGTGCTAACCGCATCATCTCAAGCGCGGCGTCGGCGAGGCGGATCGCCCGGTCCTGGCGCTGCCGCGTCTGCTCTAGAACGCCGGCGGCGTAGAGCGGCATGGCATGGTCGCGCGCCCGTGCCGAGCAGGTTCAACCCGTTGGGGCGGTAGGGAATGCGCGCCGCGAGGGCCCGTGCGTCTCCTGGGAGTGCCTCCAGCGGGGTGCCGGACAGCGCGGGCACGTGGAACGCGCATTTCGCAAGCTGCAGCGGGAGGTTGCGGGCCGCCGAAGCCCGCCTCCACAGCGGCGAGAAGCTGCTCCGCGATCGCCAGCGGCGCTTGGAGCAGCCAGTCGTCGACGTACATCCAGTGGCGAATCTCATACCGCCTGTGCTGCAAGCGAGGGTCATCGACGACGACGCGTGACCATGCAGAAGGCGGGATGACCACCCTGGTTCTCCTGGACGAGGCTGCCGCGGCTGAAGAAGGAATGCCAGCCCATCCAAACAACGTCCAAGAGGAACACCTCGACCCAGAGGCCCCACCAGAGAATGGCCACGGGGGCGGCCACCATGGGCGCCTTGGCAACGGCTGCTCTGAGGGCATCGGCCCGGCGCACCTGGCCGAACGCGTTCTTGATGTCGAAGCCGATGAGCGCATGTTGCGGAAATGCCCGCGCTGCTGCCCTGACTTCCGCGACCTCCAGCTGCGCACCGGCACGACGTCCGGCCCCGTACTGGCGCCCCCCGACCGCGTCCGCGACCTGCATGCCAGCCCCCAGCAAGCACGTCCCCATGGCAAACTTGAGCAAGGCCTCGCCTTTCAGGATGGGGCGGACGCTCTCGCACAGCGCCGTCTTGTGGAACGGCCGGGCGAGCGCTCCACACCAGAGACTCGCGAGCCATGGGCTGATGGCGCCACGTGTCCAGCAAGAGCTCCATTCCCCAGAGGATGGATCGATCTCATTATGAGATCGCGTTTTTTACGATCTCATTTTGCGATCGCAACAGTGGTTGCTTTGGTGTACTTTTTTGATATGTTGGCAGATGCGGTGCGTTTTTGTGTTTTTTGATGTGTTTGCACATATTGTTGCTTACGCGCGAACCCAAACTCCTTCCTCCTTCCTTATCCTTCGTCCTCTAGCCTTTGCCTCTTCCTTATCCTCTCCCTCCGTCTCTCCCCCTTCATTCTATCATTCATCCTCTCCCGCCGTCCCTCTATGCCCCTTTCCCTCGTCATGTCCATATTGCTTTCCTTGGTGTTCCTCCTCTTCCGTCGTTCCTCCATTCCTCTTTCCGTCTCCTGCTCCACATCCGTCATATCAGTTTGCATTTCTATCATTTATAAACCCGTCCCTTCGTCAGTCACTCGCATCATTCGTGTTTCGTTTCCCCCTCCATATTCCCATCCGTCTTATTTCGTGACTACTTAAAATAAAGAGCAGCGTGCGACAAAACCAGACACAGCACATTCTATTACGACGTGTTCCAAATGAAGCACGCACGCTGCCATACCCCACCGCCGACCCCCTATCAATCAACATGCATATTGGATTCGGCGAGGGCGAGCATCAACGGAATAAGAACGAGCACGATGCATCACACATGTGTGACGAATCCATGGGGCCCCGAACAAACCCGCGGGTTCGAGATGGGGCGATCGTTGATTGACCAGGCTTGCTCTGACATCCTCCCGCGCTTATTTCGCCGCCGCCATTATTGCCAATCCTCATCCGAATCGTAGTCGGGGTCACAGCCCCGCTCGTGCTGCCACATGTCTTCTACACGGAGCATGCAAGGATGGCACGCGTAACCGATGAGGTCACACATCTGACAGAAACCCCAGGCGGCAGGGCGACGCTTACGTTTCCGTGAGGGTGGCGTAATCCCCCATGGCAAATGGGTGGGTTGTGGCGTTTCGCTTTAGACGATCCTCACAATGTCCGCTTGATTACCATGTCACCCGACATTGCCTTGCAAGAGTAGGCCTCCCATATTGCAGCACCTAGCTTTCCTTTCAATCCGTGAAAGGTATTCGGCCATCTCATTATCATCGCGGATCGTCTTCAGTTGCTTGAGCTTCGCCTTGCGCATCGCAATGTGGGGTGGCCTCCAGCTCGAACTGCTGGAGCGGAATTTGCACGTTTCGTACGAGGTGCGCGAGGAGGGAGAGAGATAAAGAGAGAGAGAGAGAGAGAGAGAGAGAGAGAGAGAGAACGAGAGAGGGAGAGGGAGAGGGAGAGAGGGGATAGGAAGAGAGAGAGAGAGAGAGAGAGAGAGAGAGAGAGAGGGAGAGAGGGGGAGACGGCGAGAGGAGCGAAGCACCAAACAAGAGAAAGAGAGAGAGAGAGAGAGAGAGAGAGATCATGTGCATTCGTAGCAAATTGATTGATACAGCGATGTGCCCGTGGCACGGACGGGATGGACCATCATCTGATCGGGGGGGTGGGGTGAACGAGAGTTTTCGAGTTCTGTCTGTGGGCGATCTCCCGAGCGTGAGTGCTAGGGGTCAGAGTAAAGGTGTTCAAGCGAAAAATCGGGTTGCGAGCCATGTCCGTAACATCGTTGATGCCCATCCTGTTCTTCTGATGTTTCCTCTTCGCTCATCCACGGCACTGCCCCCATCCCGCATGTCACCATTCATATTACATTGCGTCTCCCGTGGCAAAAACAAAAACAAACAGCAGCCGTTTGTCCATATGATTGCCATCGTAAATAGTGAATTCGATGATGTCGGATGGCCTGGGCTGGGGGGTAAGGATGTGGCGACAGCGGCCCAGGGAACCGGGGCCAGGGCCCGCGTGGGGGGGGGGTGCGCACATCCAGGAACAAAACTCAGGCAAAACTCAGGCAAAACTCAGGCAAAACTCAGGCAAAACTCAGGCAAAACTCAGGCAAAACTCCGGCAAAACTACAGTGTCGCCCCAAAGATGCCACATCAAAACTCCAACGGGCCGTCGATGTCGGCCTTACAATCAAACACTGCTCGGAAACCCGAGCAACCTCCAGACTTGCTCCAGCAAGCCTTAGCGCCGTGAAGCTGTGCTGAAGTCTGCTCGAGGTTTGCTCGACGAAATGTTTGAGTTCGGGTGTGTCGTTCTCATCCCATACCCCCAATCATTTCACAGCTTAGCGCGGCCCCTTCGCCCAGGCAACGTCAACCGCACTTTCACCTTCAGGAGGAGGATGCGGGGGAGGAGAATGAGAAGAGAGAGGGGGATAATGGAAGAGGAGGGGGAGGAGGAGGAGAATAGAAACGATGGCTGATTACCTTCAATGGTAATACACAACCCTCGTTGTCGGACTCGGCGTCGATAATGGTCTCGGAGTCGCACTCTGGGAGGTTCCCCGAGAATGCATTTGCCAGCCTGGCTATTTTGCAGAAATGGGGATCTCGGCATTGTCACGTTTTGGCTTTCAGTCTCATCCTCCTCCTCCTCCTCCTCCTCCTCTGTCTATACCTCCTCTCAAGCTCTTTTTTTTCCATCCTTCTCAGCACCCTCCCCTCCTTGACTGCCTCGGCTCTCATCCAAGTCCTCCTGCGCCTCGCCCATCATGACCCAAGTTCCGACTCGGGAGGCGCGACACAGTCAAACAGTCAATTGATGCATTTCACCCTCGCAGCCAAGAACATGAATCTGCGAATCGGCGGGCTTGCCCAACATCAGCCAGGCACGCTTGCGCGTGCAATTCCAGCTCAAGTGCCGACACCATCCCTAAACGGCCGCTCTAACCCCAGCGGACAAAACATGCAGCTGACTGTGGCGGTGTGCGGCGGGTCTTGGGATCTGTGGGCGAGGTGACATGGAACGGTGGCCAGGACAGTGAAACCCGCGGCTTTCGAATGACCCCCCCCCCCAGCATGGTTGCCCTCGCTCTCAGGACTTCGGTCTAGACTGTATGCGATTAGCGGGTGCATAGGTGGGGCTGGCTCAGGGCAGAAGGCATCGGCTTCTCCTATCCTCCTCCTCCTCTTCCTCCTCCTCCTCCTCCTCCTCGACCTTCTCATCCTCCTGACCCCTCTCCTCCTCATCAGCATCCGCATCATCATCCTCAGCATGATTATCCTCCTCCTGATGCCCCTCATCATCCTTCCTCATACTCCACATCCTCCACTTCCGCTCCTACCATCCTCGATCCTGCCATTTCCTTTCCTAGCATCCTCGACCCCCAATCCTCTGAAACTGGTAAGCGCCCCCTGGCATATGCGCGCATCCGTTTTGCCACCAGCCCGAGGTAGTGGCGCGGCACGCCGCTCGAAACTGTCACGGACATCACACGCACGGTAAAGTCGATGACGATGTCGACCTTGGCGACGCTGCCACTGCCGCAACTTCCCTATATCTGTTTCACTCCTACCCTCCTCGCATGCGCCATACACGCGTCCCAGGTCGCATCGTCTGCACCCCCCCCGCACCCGCCCCCCCCCCCCCCCCCCCCCCCCCCCCCCCCCCCCCCCCCACACACACACACACACATCTTTCATCAAATCTCTCTTCGCACGTCCCTCCGCGACCTGCCGCACGTCAGATGCGTCTGCGCTTCCGTGGAGGTTCGTCACCATCAGCTGGATCATCATCGTCTCCAGCGCCACGGCCTGCCGCTCCCACAGCTTGCCCGTTCTTTACTTGCTCTTTCTTCCTCATCATCCTCTCTCCTCGACCTCCCCATCCTCACAATTCTCAGCATCATGCTCCTATACCTCTCCGTGCCGACCTCCCCTTACTGGCCCCCCCTCATCCGCCACCCTCGCTCTTCTTCATTCCCCCCTCCTCATCATCCGTTTCATCGTCCGCTTCCTCCTCCTCCTCATGCTACTCCTCCTCCTCCCCCCTCTCCTCCTCGCCCTGCTATTCTTCCTCCTCATCCTCCCCCTCCTCCCTTGTCCTCGCACCCTCCTCATCCTCAGCATCCGCCCCTTCATCCTGATGTACCAGATGTCTTTGCATCATATCGCCGTCAACCTGACTGCGTGGGCGTGGCTAGCTGCAACAATTACAAGGCATGAGCACGCAGGTATTCCGTTGTCGTTTGCCATCGCATTCACCCGAAGCAGCCCACAACGCAACAATGA